TTTTTTTTTTTTTTTTTTTTTTTTTTTTTTTTTTTTTTTTTTTTTTTTTTTCTTACGGGCGCATCTCCCTGTCGTGCGGTAGAGTGAGAGAAATGGGGTTTCGAGGTGTGACCGAGGGCGCGAGAAAAGTAGCTCGTCTTCTGGAAAGTGGAAATTCTTTATTCTTTCTCTCTTGGGGACGCCTTCTTTTTCTCCTCCTTGCTGCAACTTTTTTGTTTTTCCCCTTTCGAGAACAGCGAGGAAAAGTGTAACGATTGGGAGAACCTTTTACCAGCCCGTGGAAATTTTTATACGATGTTTGATTGACTTCGATCGAAAGCGAGATACATTTTTTTTTTTTTTTTTCGTTAACACGTGGTTTTATGTTTCCTCGCAGAGTTTGAAATAGAACTTTTTGCGATTTTATTGATAGGCTGCGACGAAAACGTGGAATGTTCATTAAATGCAAACACTCTGTTCTCCAGCTCTCCTCAGCGCACATCAAACAGATCGCGACGAAAGGTCCAAAAAAAACCTTATGCTCCTTCGTACGAGGAGGATCGACAAAAACTAAAATTTTGAAATCTCTACGCTGTCACGAGCGCACCGGACAAAAACACGCCCAACGTACATTTACACCCCCCGCATAAAAAGTCATCCCCCTTTCTGCATCCTCATAATATGCTTGCACAATTCAAGAGAAAGGAAGAAACAAAAAAACAATCCGCACAAGTAAATGTCGCGATAAAAAGGGGCGCTCGCACGAGGGCCCTTTTCCGCGAGTGACGGCGACACCACCGCAAAACAGCCCAACGTCATCGTTGAAAAAAAAAAACAAAAAAAAAGCCAGCTCCCGGGGGTATGCGTGCGCTCGCTTTGAAAAATAACGAGCGCTGAAACGCGCCAGGAGACAATTAAATTAGCCATTGTTGGGAGCGTTGCAGCGCGCAAAAACTCATCGGTGGCGGATCGGAGTGTGTGTGTATTCTATAGGTACCGAGAGAAGGGAGGGGGGGAGGCAAAAACCCAGAAAAGGGTCGGTGAGGTTGACGACGACGGCAAAGGGGAGATTGATCGCCAGAGGGGCCCTGGGAGCGCATCAAAAACTCGTCGGTCGCTGCAGCGATCGGAGCGTCAGCGGCTCGCGCGCCGCGAATTCGGAATCCGAGGGAGAAAGGATCGACGGTCTCTGATCAAAAAAAAAAAAAAAAAAAAAAAAAAAGGGACTCAAAGGGTGTACGTATACGAGCGTCCCCTCTTCCTTATATATATCCTCTCGACGTTTCGTCGCCGTCCTCAGCGACGGCCTTGCCGAAACAGGGCGACTCGTTATTTTCGCTTCATCCCGGCATCCGTCGCCGTCGACGCGTATGCTTGTCCCCCTTTTTTTTTCTCTTGCCTTTTAATTCTCCTCTCTACTCGTCCCTTTTTTTTCCCCGTCCGATTCCATACCGATGCCGTTTGATCGCTCTTTTTTTCCTTTCATCCGGACCTCTTTGCCAAGAGCAGCGCGTAATTTCGCCATCGGTTGTATTATACGTGTACGGCACGAGGGGGGGGGGGATGCGCGATTTTGGGCTTTCTTTGTTTATCGCGTAATGACGATCTTTTCGGCCTCTGCTCGTCCTCGTGGACGGCTCGAAGCGCTTTGTAATTGTATATAGAGGAGCTCGCGATTTGACAACGCTTGGGATTCCCTTTGTTCTTTTTTTTTTTGCAGTGGCGGCGTGTCTGATATTGTCGACTCGTGTACGTATACGTATAGGGTTTTGAGGTTACTGTACCTCCTTTGCGCTGACATTTTTGATTCCTCGAGCATTTCCGTGTAAGTACATTGGAAACTCCAAGCGAAAAACCATAGCGCCTCAACGAGCATCGTACGGGCCACTTTGAACTGTATAGGATTTACGCCCATTCAAACTGCCACGTACAGTATATACAATACCTTCCTTTGAATCCTTGGAGGTAAAAAAAAAAAAAAAAAAAAATCCGTTCCTTCCTGTTGTCTTTCTTATTGTATACCTCTAAGGGCAAACACGTGCGCGGCATGAGCAATTAGTTCCGGACACCGCGTCGTCGGAATGCCCTTTGACTCGTGTGCGTTTTCGTGTGTCTCCGTGCACATTTACACGTAAACCGTAAGATGCGCATGACACACGAATTTACCGGGAAACGATGAAAGACGCCACAAAATCTTTGGCTAGTGAAACGCGTACCTATATACGTATTGTAACGTTGTATCCGCAGCCCATATATATATATATATATATGCAGGTACTTGTAGAGCCGTCCTCGGCGAGGAATTTTTCGTGCTCGAACAAAAACTCGAGAGGGAGGGTAGGAAAAAATAAAAGGACCAACCCTCGGACGGATTATACACACGCGCTCCGGTCTTTTAGCGACTACACCATATTATGCACAGTCAAAGTCGCCGGTCGGCCGACACTGCACCCTCTCTCTCCATTGTAGTGGCCTTCATCGCCTTTTGGCTCACCTCATCGGCCCGGCCAATTTTAAATACCTTTGTACACGCAAGCCCACTGGGACTAATACCCATGTACTCATGCTAATTCCAAAACTTGAATGGCTGAGATTTTCTTTCCATGTACACACAACATAATGTATATTATATTGTATGTGTATATACATATACACAGTAGAGGAGAGTGAGAGAGGAACAATCGGAATTTCGAGCCTCGATGCGGGATAAGGTGCGTGAGAGAGAGAGAGAGACCTCAAAGATATTAAGGATTCGCCGAGTGATTTATGAATTTCCCGTATGGCGGTTACCGTTAGGAATACTACTGCAGGGGTATAGAGTGGGATTTGCATATGGAACCATACAAACCGACGTATTAACCGAATCGGGGGGGGGGATCATGTATAAATCGCTTTCACCTGCGCCGAAGTTGTTGGATTGAAAACAACTACGAGTATAATCCAATCGATTAGTATTGGTACAAAGCCCTTCTTGAGCTCACGGCAATAAGGACTTGCTACCTGCACCTGTACGTATAGAGCCCGTTCCTCTCTGCCAAAATTCACGCTACATCTTAATTTGCAACCCCAAAATTAAAAAAAAAAAAAAAAAAAACTGTTAGAAATGAGCGAGCGCGCGTTAGCTGTCCGGTGCAATATCGAAAACAAAAGTAAAACCGAGTCGGCTTCGCTCACACCATGCACGGCACTTTCCCCGACCGCAAATCTGGTCGACATCCTCTAAAGGCCGTGCATCATAAAACTCGTGCGGACCTGGCAAGGGAGTAGGGCCGAGGGTGTGCAAAGCTCTCGAAAAACAATATATATCCATGATCATCCGTGCGGCGTCGTTGCCTTTTCTCTGCAGCCTCTCCGTACTTAATGGACCCTGTGTGGGCTACACAGACGCGTCCCCAATAACCGCAAAACATTACATTTTCCCTGCTTTAAATGCATACACGGGCACAAAGCAACAGCAAGAGTCATATAATGTATATACTGTAGCGCCAAACACGCTCTCTCGCGTCGCGCCAAAATTATTTCCTCCGATGCACGGTAGGGGGGAAAAAAAAAGGATGCATCACCGTAATCATCGGAGATCCCCCGACGGAGATAATTCCGAATGAAAACCCCAAGATTAAACTCACGGGCGTCCTTTCGTGCGTTTTCAGCGACGACGCTCTTGATGTGTGCGCTCACTTAGGCGCCGACTGCAATAACACTTCCACGCCTGTGGATCATTGTGTTTCTCTCTATACCGAGTGAACCGGGGATGGGAGAGGAAAAAGATCACAGGCTTGATGGCAAAGCTGCAGTGTATATATATACGAGCACGCGGTGTGTACAATCTCCGAGATGATCGGGGGTGCTATTTCGTTGCAGCGAGGTGGGTGGTTCGGGGCAAAAGTTTTAAGCTCACCGTGTCTTGAGACAGGGTTGGTGTGTGTTGGGCGCAAATGTGCAAGGACTCCAAGTCCAAGTCTTTACTCTGACAAATTTTAACGATGCACCTTCCAAATCAGCCCTCTATTCTGCACGCCCATAATGGTCCTATCGTTATATCTGCTGTTATTGATAAATTCAAAAATTTGTTGTCCTAGTATTGGAACAACCGTGACTATACATTTTTGTCATGATTCCGCAATAATTTAACCAACAACATTTTTTCCACAAAAAAAAAATATCAGACGAGGAAAATTAAATCAAAATCAGTCACGTAGTTTTAATCGTATCTAAATTCACAGAAATAACGAAAATTTAATCGTAACTAAAGCATCAGCGCTTACACGCAGTGGTTCATTCATGAATTTAATCTTAAAAACTTGTGTATCTTAATGCTAAAGCTAATCATAAAACTATCAAAGCGTTAGATGGACCTTCATCTATATTGTATAGTAAACATGGGTGTAAATCACCTGATAATTTAAAAGTTAACGTTAAACGGACGTACAATGTAAATGATGAATTATTACTATAAATAAAAGTAAGCGAAATAATATACGGTACTTGTTCTCGTATTTTATTTGAAATTCATTAACATAGTACACATCAAAATATGCTTCATTAAACGTGCATTATTTTTCTGTTCTTTGAATTTGGTCTTAATTTCATGAGCAACGACTGATACTTGTAAAAACCAGAGGAAACATCACTTTGGTCTGCACCCAATGTTTGGACTCGCACGTCGCTGGTAACGTTGTTTTTTCTTACGCTGTCAATGAAATCCAGGTGAGACGCCACTTTCACGTAGATCGAACGTAATCGGGTTTCGTCGCAGTTTTGCGTGTGGACGACCAACACTCCGATTATTTTGCTATCAACGACTAATCCACTGCCCCTATCGCCCTGTAAATTACGTACATCAATCGATGAACCCTTTTTTTATCGTTTTATTTATCGTTTAAAATTGTTTATTCGTACCATACACGTGCCTCCGTATCTAGAAATGGCGATTGGTCTGACTTGTCCACAAATCACTTGGTCGGTTATCTGTAAAAACGGGCCACTGTTTCTGGTGCAGTTGGACGTGCCGTCAAACACCGTGACATTGGCGTACCGGAGATGATCTGTTTTTTCGTGGTACTCCGTGGTCCCCACTTCATCCTTGATGTATCTGATACTCTTTACTCCGAAGCCACACACAACGGCATCAGGACCCGCGTATTCGTAGTTCTTTTGTGGTAAATTTAATTTTCCAATTTGCGAATTGAATTTAATCAGATTTAAACTACTCTTCAGCTAGAAAAATGTAAAAAAACTATTGTGTGTGTCATGCAAAAGAAGTAGTGGGCTCATTTTTTAATTTTACCAACACAGCAGCAATATCGTGGTCATTAGAAAGTAACCCATCCAAATACTTTACAGGCACGTAAACTTTATTTAGGTCACTTTTAGAGACATTGATTGATTTTAAATTTACTCCTCCAGCCACAATTTTGTATGGAAGATTTTGAAATTTCTTGTTTTTGTAGAAGCAACTGGCAGCTGTGAGAACAAAGTAATTGCCAATGATACTACCTCCGCAAATGTGTACATTGTTCACTTGTATGGACACTTGGTACTTGAAGTCGCCTTCATTAGCTTCGTAACCCCCAATTATACCTATAACTAAGAAAATATAATTAATACGATAATTTTGTCATACTTTTGCTTTTGAATGATTTTGGATGGATACAGCAGTTAGTATGTTTTGTCATAATTAATTTTAATTGTAATCTATTACAGGTTCTTAATAAAAGCGGTATATTTTTCTTTAAACAGGTATGAGAATTAGTTTCGGTAATAATCAATTTTTTTTTATCAGCTCACTATTCATAGAAACTTACGAATCTACATAGTAAACTTATACGTGGTATTAAATTGTCGTAGACGGAATGAAAAGAAATTTTGATGATTTGTGTAAAGTTGTAAAATATGTCATAAAGATATTGTACAGTAAGTAAAATTCAATTTTAATGTTAATATTAATAAATTAACTGCAGCTCAAGTACAAGATAAAATCTTGAAACTCATTTGTTAAGTCGAATTTTCATTATTATAATGTCGAAAAGGTAAAAAATCGTTGTTTTTAAAAATTTTATACTTTTCAAATAAGAGGTTTACTCAAATTTGTATGAAAACGTTTCAAAAAGTCTAAAATATTTTTTTATAATTATTTTTTATATGAATTACAACTTATTCAAAAAATATTTATTAAGTTTAAAAAGCAGTTTTCTTCAATGTTTTGATAGCGTTATGTGCTTAGTACATTTATGACAGTACATTTCACTGTCAAGATGTTAGTATAAATAGTTTAGAGAAGAATTGTTCACTTACCCGGATTTATAAAAATAACGAAATAGAGTTGAAACTGAAGTAATAATGGGCGTAAAAAGTTTATCATTTTTTGAATGTTTAAAAAATTTGGGTCTTAGCACTTTGCTGGTTGTATTGCAACTAAAGTTGTAGTACGTTTTGTCTTCACCAATATGTTATTTCCACACCAGCTATTAGAGGAGATAAAATGAAATGGCCTTAGTTAAATGAAATACTCGAATACATGAGAAATTCTACGATAATTCGTCGTATGGTTCGGGAAAATATCAAAATATAATTTTTTGTACTTCTTCAAAATTTATTCAATTTTGTTCAAACTCGTGGTTAATCAATATCATAGTAATATATTATGAGGGCCGATGAGGTATATTATTTTTGGACACATCAAAAACTTTTTCTACTAACATGAAAAAATCAAATTTTCTTTCTTTTTTTTTGCAAGAGCTGCTGTAAAGTAAAAAAAAAAAAAATTGAAAAAACGTGTAAAGCTTATCGAGTTAAAAGCGTGAAAAAAATGTATACACAAAATACATATGAAACAAATGCATCATAAAATATGTTTACTTTGCTTCCAAATAAAACTCGTAGAATAAAATGATGATGCTGATACTAAAATTTACTATTTGTTGATCAGATTTTAACCAAAGTAGTCTATTTTCAATAGTAGGTTAATTAAAATTCCTCGTGATTTTAAATAATCACATTATTTTTTACCCAACCCCCATTGTTGTGTACTTGTTTTTTAACACAAAAAAAAAGCACTTGGATTCAAATAAAGTTTTGCTAAATGCCATTTGTCAATGTAGTAGTTAAATTAAATTAATTAAATCTATGTCATATTCAAGAGCATGAGAGTACATTGTTAGTGTGATATGAATTCGTATCGAAATAAAATACGCGTTGTAATCACCACAAAATACTCGACGATTAGGAACAGTTTAGAGATTAATTCATGCAAAAATTATCTATTTGTTAAGGCCATCAAAAATTTATCAGTATAATTACACCCACGTTCAGGTGAATAATTAAATCCCAAGCAAATTTAACACAATATTCTGTAAAAATGTGCTACAGATTTTTGGGCTACTACCTTATTTTGATCTGTAATTATACTAGCCCGAGGTTTCATTTTAGAGGTAAGAAAGGTGGCAAAAATGACGAGACAATAACCTTGTCAATTTTCGATCGATAGTTGTCACCGTTGTTTGTTAAAGTTAAAGTTCTCATCTCAAAAGTTCCACCAACTTTCGAACCTTTTCACGTATAGAGCGAATTATCGTGTCTTTTTGTGATGTATCCTCTTTTTCGTTCATTCCGTTTGACTATGTTAGCACGATGCACCGCGGGCAATATGAATATCACCTATAGCCTGGATGACCGTTGAAATTCAAGCTTCCATTTTTCTCGTCGACGCTGAAATGGCTTCGGATTGACTATATAAATACTGCTTGATCGTTTCGTCAACCGATCGGCAAGTAGTACAAAAAACAACCTCGAAGTGAATTTGCAATAAAATCGAGAAATTCAAGACCCTGCCTTAAAAACCGATGGTAATCTCCTTTGGCAAAAGAACGATACAGCTCAACCACCGACACCTGCGCCGCAGAGTGACGTGTGCACTTTGAAGAAAGAAGCGGAGGAAGACGATAAAGGCAGGAATGGCAAAGCAATTGCCTTTTATTCTTACGAACGAAGCGTGCACGGAGCTGATTAAATTTCCTCTTGATTTCCAAGTGCACGCACGCCTCGAGGCGAAAGCGCATATATATATATATATGTATATACTTACGCGGCACGGTGCGTTCGCTCTTTGGCGTCAAGTAAGAATAACAATAGCGGGTATATATATATATGGGGTAAATAGTACGAAGGGAGAAAAAAAAAGAAATGAGATAATTGAAACGTAACAGCGACATCCGCGCATGCTGGGGTGCATCCTCCCACGTGCACTTTTGCAGCGCGGAGGGGGAAAATCGTTTTACGTTGCCTCAATGAAAGAGAGACCAAGACATTGGTTAATATATGTATATTTTTTTTCGTAAAATTACCGAGGGCCGGTGAGGTTGGTTTTAATTCGGAATCGTGTAATCGTGACTTTCATGATTTAAAGTACTTGAAACAATCGCGCGAGAGTCGATTAAAACAACCGACCGATCGATCTTTAATTTCAGAGCGGCTCAATTATAATATTTCCAAAGTTGAATCCGCTTATATCGGATGATACAGTCATATGTATATTTTGCAATGGTTAATCTACCTATCCTTTGAAATCTCAAACCGACATCTCTCTCGTGTGTGTATGACAAAATTGACCTGCCGATTAATCATCCAAACTTGAAAAAAGCTCAGTTGAAAAGTAAAATGAAAAAAAAAAAAAAAAAAAATGGCCCAAACTACAGCAACCGTAGCCAGTCAAGTGTACGAAGCAGGGCATTCCGCCTTAGATGGCCACCGCAAAGCTTCGCGCGCATTAGCCGCGTAACTGTTCCGTCTACAGTGTTGTATCTCGAAATCAAGTGCCGGCCGGCCACAGACGATATACTTATATACCTATACGTATACTCGGTTGGCACCAAAAAGTCCTGTACCACGTATGTATATATGTAACGTCGGAGGGGGAAGGCCATCCCAAAACTCTGCAGCAGCATACGAATGACGAGCACAAAGCCAAGGAAGAGAGAGAATGGAATAAAAAAAGCGTAAGCGAAGGGGAAGATGTGCACACGCGGGCGAGGAGCCGTGAAGAGAAAAAGGGGCCCGGGCACCACCTACGTGTACGCATGGCTTGAGCGCGGCGCGGCCTCGTCAAAGGGGATTGTAATTAGCCGCGCATGTGCCGCTCTCCCCCCGCATGAGAGAGTCGCGCCGTCACGCCGGAGCGAACTTGGGTCCCAAGACGTATGTACGTATATATATATACGTTCCCCTGCCGGATTTTCGAAAGCTTTTTGCTCCGCAAGTCGGGCTTTTTTCGCCCAATGTTTTTGCTGCTCCATCTTTCACATATACGTTGCCACCGAGGAATTCGCGTTGTTCCGCCGATCGAGCCCTTTTTTTACCCCCCCCCCTCCCCCCAACTTTCGCACGGCCGCGACGACCATAAAGAAGACCAAGAAAATGCACGAGGTGATCTGTGATGGAGATGACGAGACGCCTGCTCGGGCCCGCGCGTGTTTTTTGCCGCATCGGAATGAACGCGAACGCGGGTTATTCGAGAAATGCGAGGGCTCCGCGCTTTTACAAACATTAAACCGGGGGGGGGGAGGGAGGGAGCTTTTTTTTGTTTTTTTCGCCGAACGCCAGCACGGTTTGTTATACTTTCTCGATTGCAGGTGCGCTATATACGTAAAAACGTCAATGTTGTCTTTGGCGAAAAAACTGTACACCGCCCGATCAAATACAAAGCTTCGGGTCGTTGGGTCTGATGAAATTTTTCAATCGCAATATTGCTTCCTGCAGCACGCCCTTCATTGCACGGGGCTATTAAAAAAGCTCCCCCAATCAAATTAATTGTACCCTCCCTCGTGTATATTATACAGTGAGTCTCTGTTATACTGGAGAAGAGAAAAATTGTTTCGTTTTCCATGATTGTCGATTGGCTCGTGTGGCACGAGACCGTAGGAATTGTGCGGTCCATCTGTGCTATGTAATAATTGAAGTGAAATTTTGTCAATTTCATTTTGTGAAATAATTAATAAAATTTACGAAAAACAAAAGCAAAGCGGGCGATTGTTCGTTATTGTTATTATCATCATCATCATTATTATGTTGTACCGTCCCTTTGAAAACGTCGGCCTAAATAAAAATTCACCGATCCTTCGGTGTATACCTTTGAAAATTCAATTTGCAGAGCACAAAACAGAGCCAAAAAAAAAGCTCGTATGGACTCTGTTTGGAAATAAAAGAGAGAAAAACCGCCCCACACGCGTTTATAGTGGGGAAAAAAAAAAAAATAAAACGATGGAGAGGGGCGAGCGGGTAAAATATTTATTGCGCTTCATAAATTAATCGAACAGCGTTGCACCACGAGCGAGAGGCCTCCGAAAAGCATTGGCCGTATGTGTGCGCTTGGTAATGCATGTATAAACGTGCAAACCCTCCCCCGGAACGTCCCGACGTCCTTTATTAAATTCGAATATTCGACACGCGGAGTAAAAAAAAAAAAATAAATAAAAAAAAATAAAAAAAAATGAATAAAAAAATAAAAAAAACAACTACGGGTGCGCGTGCGAGAGCTTTTGTATACATACATACAACCGCAATCGGCGCTACTCTGGTATACGTATATACGTGGTACAGTATACATATATGGGTAATATACATTTATACATCTTCTATACATGGTGGGGATGGGAATACAAAAGGACGAACGAGAGAGTCC